GTGACTTTCTGCCTTGTCACAGGTGGGCTCGCGGCTTGTCTTTTTTTATACACGTTCCGATTTTTACAGCCCACCGTCGGACCTAAACCAAGGAAGGGGGCCCGGTTTAATAAAAACAGACAAAGACAACGGGTCCGATTTCTCCGCCCGGCGAAATCCCGCCCGGCGTATCGAGGGATTTTTTATAGGCACGGGCTGGGACTTTCCGCGCCGCAAGGGTGGCAGACCTGTTGACAGCGGGAGTCCCGGGGATTCCCGACGCAGATCCCCGTGGGGTTGCGAGGGTGATGGGTGGCGGCGGGCGCAGGGGCTTCGCGAGGGATTCCGCGCCGGTGTGTGGATGGCGGGCCTTCGCCTTGGCCTACTTGGCCGCCCTGCTGTTGGGGCGGGAGGGGATGAGAAGGGAGAGTAGAAGGCTCCAGGCAGAGGCCACTAGGCGGCGGCGGACACGGCGATGTTGATGGGGACTGGGATGGGGACGTGGAGCTGGCGAGGACGTGGTCTGCCTGCGGAAAGTTAAAAGCAATCTGTTGTTTCTACGCGGATACATAAAGAATCTCAGGAGAGACAACTTCTCTTAGGATCCTTGTAAATTCATTTTAAATGATAAAGTATGAACTTGTTTACTTGAAATGGAATAAGTAGTAGGTATCCATAGGGAATAATCCTTGGAATATGATGCGAACAACATGTAATTGTTTTAAATATAACGAAATTTGAAAATGAGAAGGGCTTCCATGTGCATCTCAATCTACAACTCATGATTTTGAGCTTTTAACTCGAATGAGGATATAATGAGTGGCATTTCCTGTTTGATGTAACATGAACTCACTTTTAATGCCCCCCCCCCCAATTTTCTCGTTTTCGCCTTAATGTCCAACAAACTTATCTAAAATAATTTCCATAAGTTTAGTTTGCTTCTTGCCGCGTGGATGAAGAAAGAGGGAATAGAAGATTCGAGGGAACAGAGGAAAATAAGAATCGATCGCTGCGACGTCTTCGATGATGAAATTTCTCTTCCCCGAGTGCAATACTTATTATTTTGTGCTAGCTTTCATTCAATTTGTAATCATATGTTAAAAATACAGCGTAAATTGGAAACAAATAACCTATAATTATTACAATAATTAATTGAATATCTATGTATGTACTTTGGCACAACAGCTCTTCACGAACTATGGCCTACTGGTCTTGAATTAATCCTACTAATAAATTCATTAAAAAGTAAATGTGATTGTTTTAGCGGATACAAACAATAGTAATAATAACAATAATAATGTGTTTATTTCACAGATTTTTCTCATTTTTCTTCCTATGGTCGGTTGGAGCCTTACAGCACCTGTACCTACCTGAGTTCTTCTTAGCAAATTCCGTTGCCAGTAATCCGTTGCTGGAAGAAGCTGAAGACGCTACTAAACCGAAAATCCCTGTAACTGGTGGAAAAACGCTCATTCAGGAAGCCCCTTATATACTCATATATCAAACAATTATTGCGCGATTCCTTTCTGATGAGAGTTACTGCATTACAAAAAGAAGAATTAAAGAATATCTAGCAAAAATTTGGATTTAAGCGCGTGTTTGGACGATAATATTAAAAGCAAATATTTTTTCTTCCTTTAGATACCAATTATCAATTATCTCCTTATAAAATTAAAGTCTATTTTTTGTCTGTGTGTTTTTCAATTTAATTTTGTTCTCTACTCTCATTCATCATTATTATAATTATAATGATTACTTAGTTACGCCGCTGTTGCAGCAAATGATCGATATACTACAGTCCTTTTCTATTTGTGTTGGTGTATGTGTTGCAACTTCCACTATCTCCCTATTGCACATTATTCATTAACTCAGCAGAGCACGATATATCACAGCGTGCCTCGCAGCGACTACATTTCAGCTGTCTAAACTTTATTTTCAATTTTCTTTGAATTCAGCCATGTTTCAACAGCAAGAGATTAAGTGTTGGCACTGCTAACGGTGTTGTAAATGTAAATAAT